TTTTTTTTTTCTTTTTTTGGTTTTGCGGTGGTGGGTGTTCTTCTTCACCGCTCACGACCCCCTCTTGCAACGCGCTGCAGGTGTGTGCGATTGATATTTTGTGGTCATTGACAAAGAAGCAAATAACAGCACGTGCAGGGCCAAGAGCAACAGCCACAACAGGGTGTCGCAATGTGGTTTGGTGGGGTCCTGCAGATGGTGGCGGCATTTATCCTGCTGGCGGTCGCCCACTACTTCGCCGCCGGCTTTCTCCCCGTTGCCGACTGCGACGAAACGTACAACTTCGTGGAGCCGATCCACCAGCTGTTGTACGGAAGCGGGCTACAGACGTGGGAAAATTGCCCGATCTACGCGCTGCGTTCGTGGCTCTTCACGTGGGTCTACGCAGCGCCTGCGTTCCTCGTCACCAGCATGCCAAGTCTGCGGAACGTGGACGTGTACTACTTCATCCGCATCTTTCATGGCCGCGTAGCGTGCCTGGGGGAGCTGTTCCTTGTGTATAGCGTGTGGGACGCCTTCTCCGGCCGAGTCGCTGTGGTGACGCTGGTGCTGCTGCTGCTCAACTACCCGATTCCACACGCCGCTGTGAGCGCGTTGCCAACGAGCTTCGTCATGATCAACTACTTTGTGCTGCTGGGCTGTTGGCTCCGCACGGGCCACCGCTCTCGCAGTCGCGGTGCTGGCAGCAATCATACGGGTGGTAGTAGTAGTAGTGGTGGTGGTGGTGGTGGCCATAATAGAGATAGTGGCCTCGCCCCTCATGTAAGTGCGTCGAGGCGCGTGCCAGTACCAACACCACGTGGCGCCATCTTCGGCACTGTCTTCTTCACGGTATTGGCCTGCGTTGTTGGGTGGCCATTCGCCGGGCTCGTCGCCGTCCCTGTGGGGATTGACATGCTTCTGCGCTTCCCCGTAATGTCAGTAGCGTCTCTTTTGTTATCGCTTGCCACAATTGTGCCTCTCGCGGTCGGCCTCGACACGCTGTACTATTGCCGCGTGACGTGGAGCGCGTGGAACCTTGTGCGCTACAATGTGCTGGGCGAGGCGGAGCGCGGGCCGGAGCTGTACGGTGTGGAGCCGTGGTACTACTTCATCAAGAACCTTCTTCTCAACGTGCATGTGATGTTCCTCGCCGGCGTCACGGCTCCTCTTGTCATCCTCCTGAAGCCAGCAGCACGCAGCAGCAGCAGCAGCGGTGCAGTGTCGCTACTGCGGAAGCAGGCACCGCTTCCACTGTCGCCAGCGGAGTTGGAAACACGAGCGGTGTCGGCTCAAATTCTCCAGCAGCACCAGCGAGTGGTGTCGCGGGGCCGCATGCTGCTTTACATCTCCCCGTTCTTTTTGTGGTTCACCTTCTGGTTCACGGTGCCGCACAAGGAGGAGCGGTTCATGGCGCCGGCGTACCCATTTCTTGTGCTCTCCGCCGCGTTATGTTTCACACAGGTGTTCTTCGCCTGCACCCCGTCAATGACGACGGCGACGACAGCGGCGGACGCAGGGTCAGCGACGTTTGCGTCTAAGCCGGAGGTGCAGCGTGAGCGGGGGCGTGGCGGTCGTGTGGGGCGGTCACGCGCGTCATGGCTGCTGCCGGCCATGGGCTGCACTTTGCTTGTCCTCTTCGGCATCGTGTCGTTCTCGCGCAGCATGGCCGTCTACAAATTCTACGCCGGGCCGCAGCGACTGCTCTACGACAACTACGACGTGCTGCGGAACGCTGCGGCACAAAAGTTGGCGGGGCAGGTGAGGAGTAGCAGCACTTTTCACAATCGCAACGTCACCGGCAGTCATGACAGCAGCGCAGCAGCCCTCTACACGCTCTGTGTGGGCCGCGAGTGGTACCGCCTCCCATCGTCCTTCTTCGTCGACCCGCAGCTTGCACGGGTGGCATTCATCAAAACGCCCGCCTTTTCGGGCGCTCTGCCGCTGCCATTCGCGCGGAACGACACCGGCGCGACGTGCCGTTGCGGCTCCGCCGAGGTCAATGATCTCAACCGCGAGATCTCCGCGCAGTATGTGGCGGACGTGGCGGCTGACTGCGACGTTGTTCTTGACAGCGACAGCAATGCAGCAGACGCGCGTGACTCGCCGGATTACCCGCGTGACATCTTTGCGCACGCCCTGGCACCGCCGCAGTTGCTGCTGGACGTTGACAGGACGCCGATGTGGTGCCGTGTGTTGTACTACCCGCTCGGCATCAGCGAACGGTGCGCTGTGTGGCGGCGGGTCGGGTTGTGGAGCAAGCACCGCCCCGCTGCAGCGTGATGAGAGCGGGTGCGACTCGCACCACAACGAAAACGAGTTTGTCTGTTTTTCGCCATGCCCCCCCCCCCTATTGGCTCGGCTGTGCAGCTTCACAAGGCGTAAAACGAGAACACGAAACATTTAAAATGTGCGCCCTTGTGTGTGGGGAGCGTGTGTATTGGTGTTGCCATGATTTCTCTTCGCGTTTGTGAGACAGTGTGTGCAGATAGATTGTGTCAGAAACCAAGACAAATAGATAGTGAAGGGTAGAGTTTGCGAGGCTGCAGGATGGGACGCCACACGGCAACGAGGAGCGTGGCTGCAGTGGCAATTCAGAGGTGGCACCGGCGCAGATGTGAAGTGACGCGTGCCGTGCGGCTGCTGGCCCTTTTGCACGTACTGCAGCACGAGAAAAGGGGCAGCGGAACAGTCGCGCCGCTGCTTAGGGAAATGGCTGCTACTGCTCCTGGAGAGGTGGCCGATGATAACAGCGTAAACCGGAGTACTGATGGTGCGTTGTGTAGCGTTCTCGGGTTGCTTTTGGAGCTGGTCGTCGCATATGCGGAGCGACTACACACCGAGAATTACACCAGACGCCTGCTGCTCGAAAGGCGCGCGGCGGAGTTGCGCACTCCTGGCGAGATGCAGGCATTGGATGTAATCCTCGGCGTGCAGCGTCTGCCGCTCCTGCCAGACGCCACGCTGGTGGAGCTTATCACGGATGTGCGGGTGGCGGCTGCTGCAGGGCGACAGCAGCGCGTGTGGTGTGTGCGACGCTGCCTCGGCGCGGCGGGTGTTGAGCGACTCGTCGGCCACGGCC